ATTATATTGAATTACTTGCGGCTGAGTTATTGAACGCTTGGCGGTACACAGAGAGAAATTGAGGAGAACTTCTGGTAATAGAGGGGTTTCTAGAAGGAGAAGATCTGCATATGGTCTTTTAACCTTAGATAAGCTCTAGAAGGTCTTCTAATCATAGAAGATTTGTAAAGGGTATTTTAGGCATAGAACATTTGTAGAATGTCTTTTAGCCTCCGAAGACATGTAAAGAGCCTTCTGTCATAGAAGATATTTTGGCCCCAAAAGACCTGTAAAAAGTCCCCAAGCCATTGAATATTTGCAGAAGGTATTTTAGCCTTGAAAGACCTATATAGGACATTTTCGCCTTAGAAGACCTGTAGAAGGTCGTTTAGCCTTAGAAGGCCTGCATGAGGTTTCTTAGCATTGTATGAGGTCTTTTGGCCTGAGAAGACCTGTATGAGTTCTTTTATCCTTAGAAAATATGAAGGAGGTCTTTCAGTCTCAGAAGACCTCTATGAGGATTTTTGGCCATAGACAATCAATAGACGGTATTTTAGCCTTGGAAGACCTGTAGAAGATCTTTTAGCCTTAGAAGACCTGTATGAGATCTTGTGGTCTTAGAAGACATGTGTAAGGGCTTTTAGCTTTTAGAAAACCTGTAGAAAGGCTTTTGGCCTTATATGTTCTGTATGATGTATTTTAGGCTTTGAAGACCTATGGACAGTCTTTTAGCCTTGTAAGATCTGTAGAAGGTCTTTTGGCCTTAGATGGCCTGTACGATGTATTTTAGCTTTAGAAGAACAGTATAGGGGATTTTAGCCTTAGATGACCTGTATGAGGTCTTCTAGCCTAAAAAGACCTGTATAAGGTTTTTTTTAACCTTAGACCTGTATGAGGTCTTGTGGTCTTAGAAGACGTGTGTGAGGGCTTTTAGCTTTTATAAAACCTGTAGAAAGGCTTTTGGCCTTAGAATTTGATGTATTTTAGCCTTTAAGACCCGTAGACAGTCTTTTAGCCTTGTTAAACCTGTATAAAGTCTTTTAGCCTTAGAGGACCTGTTTGAGGTCTTCTAGCCTAAAAAGACCTGTATGAGGTCTTGTGGTCTTAGAAGACATGTGTGTGGGCTTTTAGCTTTTAGTAAACCTGTATAAAGGCTTTTGGCCTTAGAAGTTCTGTATGATGTATTTTAGCCTTTAAAGACTTGTATACTGTCTTTTAGCTTTGTAAGATTTCTAGAATGTCTTTTGGCCTTAAATAACCTGTATGATGAATTTTAGATTCAGAAGAGCCGTATAAGAGATTTTAGCCTGTATAAGACTTGTGAAAGGTCTTTTAGCCTTGGAGAACCTGTATGAGATTTTTTTGCCTTGGATTACCTGTGGAAGGTATTATAGACACAGAAGACTTGTAGAAGGTCTTTTAGCCTAAAAAGACCTATATAAGGTTTTTTGTAGCCTAAGTCCTGTATGAGGTTTTTTCGTCTTAGAAGACATGTGTGAGGGCTTTTAGCTTTTGGAAAACCTGTAGAAAGGCGTTTGGCCTTAGAAGTTCTGTATGATGTATTTTAGCCTTTGAAGGCCTGTATACAGTATTTTAGCCTTGTAAGATCTGTTGAAGGTCTTTTGGCTTTAGATGGCCTGTATGATGTATTTTAACTTCAGAAGAGCCGTAAAAGGTATTTTAGCCTGTATAAGAACTGTGGAAGGTCTTTTAGTCTTAGAAGGTCTGCATGGGAATTTTTCCCTAGATTACCTGTGGAAGGTATTATAGCCACAGGAGACCTGTATAACGTATTTTAGCCTTGGAGAACCTGTAGAAGGTCTTTTAACCTGTAAGAGGGTGTTTATCCTTGCAGACCTCTAGAAGGACTTCTAACTGTGAAAAACTTGAATAGGTCTTCTACCCACAGAAGATCTGTATAAGATCCTCTAACCGGATAAGACATATATATGGTCCTCGAACCGTATAAGACTTGTAGAAGGTCTTCTAGTCTTAGAAGACCTGTAGAAGGGCTTCTTACCGTATATATCAAACATAAGTTCTTCTTACTGTTTTAGCTTTAGAGATCTTTTGGATGGTTTTCTAACTGTAAAGAACCTTTGAGAATCCTTCGATCCTCAGATGACCTCAAGTTACTGGTTTCTTCATCCATTTTTTCCTCACTGTACTCAATTAGCATGCAACGCAGATACCTTCTCCCGACTCATAGTCATACACATCAAATATTGTTGTTGTTGCTGTTGTTGTCGACTTCAAATTCAGGTTTTAGGTGTGCCTATCAAACGGATAGTTTGCCACGTTAGAGGCATGCATTTTTAATAGACCCAATGCACACAGAGGATCTATGGGTCTGTCAGGCAACTAAGCTGTTGGCTAGCCCTCAGTCCTCCGAAGCCGAGCAACAATGGAGAAATCAATAAATATTTGGTGGTTATTGGATTTGAATAACTATCTATGTCTTCGTCTTTGTCGTTGTCCTCGTCGCTGAGACGGACACATTTGAAATGTTAATAATGTCTTTGAAGCGTTTTTCTTTCTGAAATGGCGGGAATGGAAAACAATGAAATGCATTTGCAACTGAACTGAAGTGGGTGAATAACTCACAGCCAGGATTACTAAACCAACGACGGGTTTCATGGGAGTGGGAGTAGACAATTGCAGTTTGTCTTTTTCCCAGTCCCGGCAGTCGGCAGTTATTTGCAATGCAGTTTGGCAATTATTGGTACGGGGCTTGTGGGAATTGATAAGGCGACATCCTCTCCCCCATTTATGCGGATGTGTTAATGCAAATTTGTATTTGCATTGAAGTTATGATGTCGATATCGACTTTATTGCTTTGATATGGGATTTTCTTGGAATTTATTTTTAGTCTTTTTTATTTTAATTTTAGATATTTATGGACGGAAGTAGGTGACGCATGGGGGTATCATAATTTGTATTTTTAAAGGTATTTTGTATTATTAAAGGTTGTTGTGAAAATAAGTGGGTTAACATTAAGATGTAGCTCCTTTCGATCATCAACAGAGACACAAGAGAACCTTTAAAAGACCGGATTTTTTAAAAATATTTTTTTAAGGACGATCAATCAACGTAATTTTGTTAAAAGGTCTATTCAAAGTGGATTTTTCCAATTTTTCATTTTCTAAAAAAATATTTTTTCAAGGATCAGTAGACGTGGATTTTTTAAAAAAAAATATTTTTTCAAGGATCAACAGACGTGAATTTTTTTAAAAAAATATTTTTTTCAAGGATCAACAGACGTGGATTTAAAAAAAAAAAATCAAGGATCAACAGACGTGGATTTAAAAAAAAAAAAAATTCAAGGATCAACGGACGTGCATTTTTTAAAAATAATATTTCAAGCACCAACAGGCGTGGATTTTTTACAAAATATATTTTTTAAGGATCAGCACTCGTAGATCTTTTAAAAAAACCCTTTTTTAAAGATCAACAGACGTTGATTTTTTAAAAAACACTTTTTCAAGGATCAACAGACTTGAATTTTTAAAAAAAATATTTTTTCAAGAATCAACAGACGTGATTTTTTTAAAAAATATTTTTTTAAGGATCAACAGATGTTTATTTTTCAAAAAATATTTTTTCAAGGATCAACAGACGTGGATTTTTTAAAAAAAATATTTTTTCAAGTATCAACAGACGAGGCTTTCTTAAAAAATATTTTTTCAAGGATCAAACTACGTGGATTTTTTAAAAAAAATATTTTTTCAAGTATCAACAGACGAGGCTTTCTTAAAAAATATTTTTTCAAGGATCAAACTACGTGGATTTTTTAAAAAAAATATTTTTTCGAGGATTTTTTTTTAAGGATCAACAGACGTGGATTTTTTAAAAAAATATTTTTTCAAGGATCAACACACGTGGATTTAAAAAAAAAACAATTTTTTCAAGGATCAACAGACGTGGATTTTTTAAAAAACAATTTTTTCAAGGATCAACAGACGTGGATTTTTTAAAAAAATATTTTTTTAAGGATCAACAGGCGTGGATTTATAAAAAAATATATTTTTTCAAGGATCAACAGACTTGGGTTTAAAAAAATTTAAAGGATCAACAGACTTGGTTTTAAAAAAAATTCAAAGATCAAAAGACTTGGATTTTTTTAAAAAATATTTTTCAAAGATCAAAAGACTTGGATTTTTTTAAAAAATATTTTTCAAAGATCAAAAGACTTGGATTTTTTTAAATATTTTTCAAAGATCAAAAGACTTGGATTTTTTTAAATATTTTTCAAATATCAACCGACGTCATGAATTGTATTAAATATTTTTTTCAAGGACAACAGATGTGGATTCTTAGAAAAAATCTTTTCAAGGACCAACAGACGTGGATTTTTTAAAAGAATATTTTTCTAAAGGATTAACAGACGTGGATTTAAAAAAAACATTCGTAAAGGATCAGCAGGCGCGTATTTTTTTACAAAAAATATTTTTCAAGGATCAACGGACGTGGATTTTTTTAAAGGATCGAGAGGCGTGTATTTTTTAAAAAATAATCTTTTAATGATCAAAATATTTTTTCAAGGATAGGCAGACGTGGATTTTTTAAAAAATAATCTTTTAAGGATAAAAATATTTTTTCAAGGATAGTCAAACGTGGATCTTTTAAAAAATAATCTTTTAAGAACCAAAATATTTTTTCAAGGATAGGCAGGCGTGGATTTTATAAAAAATATTATTTCAAGGACCAACAGACGTGGACTTTTTTATTTTTTTTTCGAGGATAAACAGACGTGGACTTTTTTAAATTTTTTTTCAAGGATAAACAGACGTGGACTTTTTTAAATAATATTTTTTCAAGGATAAAAAGACGTGGACTTTTTTAAAAATATTTTTTCAAAAATCAACATTTGTAAAGACTGTCAGTCAACCGGTATGTTTTGAAAATATTTTTTAAGTACTATCGAACCAACGAAATTTATTTCGACTACTACCAGGTCCTTTGCCCTGATTTCATATTTTTCATTATTTTATTTTACAAATGATTTTTCTTTTATTTTTCAGAACATCAACAACAATCCCACCATTCTCTGCAACAACAGACAACTCAATCTCAACCACAGCAGCAGCAACAATCACTACAACAGCAACATCCTTCGGCCCAATCTCAGCCCTTTGTTATAAACGACAGCAATTCGAACAGTGCTGTGGCCAAATCCTTTGTCCCCTGTAAAGTTTGTGGCGACAAGGCTTCGGGTTATCATTACGGCGTTACGTCCTGTGAGGGTTGTAAGGTATGACAACATTTGTTTACTTTGTTTCGATTATTTAAATAATTTAGAATTGTTTTCTTGCAGGGTTTCTTTCGTCGCAGCATCCAAAAACAAATCGAATATCGTTGTCTGCGGGACGGCAAGTGTTTGGTCATACGCCTCAATCGTAATCGCTGCCAGTATTGTCGTTTTAAGAAATGTCTATCAGCTGGTATGAGTCGAGACTGTAAGTAGCCAATAGTTATTGTATATTTGAAATATTTTAATGGGGTTGATAAATATAAGTTTTTTTTTAGAAAAAATTAAGGTGTTATTCATATAATGTATTTTCCGTAGTGCATAATAATAAATATAACAATATTGGTCTAAATTCTCCATTGGAACTTTATATCCTTTTTGGATAGAGCATCGTTTATATTCTTAGGTTTTTCTTCATCGATGCCGCATTTTTCTAACGACATGTCCAAAAAAATGCGTCACAAATGATGTCACTACCCAGATGGGGTAAAGGTGTATGTATTGACATTACAAGTGGAAACATATTCATCATCAATTTCTAAGCTAAATTTTGATTATTTGGCATACTACCACAAAACATGACGTCCAAATTTTCTAATTTGAGGTCTTTAGGTTCATTTTTCATCCAGATTAGCTGTACTCGGGAAATCCGGTTTTTAAAAACAGTCAAAGTACAAAGTACAACAGTCAAATTTAACCAGGAAATTATATTAATATTTGTCCATTATTTGAGTAGTCAGTGTTTCAGAAGGTAATGCTTTGCCGATGCAGAGTATGTAGCTGTTTTAAGGCAATAGAAGGCAATTTACTTTTTGAAATCCAGGAAAAGTTCTTTAAACTTTAGAAGTTTGTTTACGTATTCTATGTATTGGACCTCTAAAGAGTGCCCAATACATAAATATACATCCCTACAAATAAAAGACCTCGGAAGATCTTTCTTAAATTTATATCTATAACATTTGTCTTCTACAAAAAAATGCTTTATATGCTATTTTTATAGCAGACTTTCAGAAGATCTATAAATCTATAGATGAATAAAAAATAGATCTTGAAGGTCCCCCTTATGCGGAAGCCCCCTAGGTATATATGTAATACTATTACAAGGTCTTCTATATATTGAAGTTCTGCTGTCTTTTATCCGTAGGTATTTCTATAATGCCGTCTATATAGGGAAGGTCTCTGCAAAGGTTTTTACCCATTACCGTTACACTATCTATTGTATAACCTTACGAGGTCGCCTGCTTATTTAGGATCTTTAGAGGTCATCTATCAATAAGAAGATCTCTAGAAAGTCATCTATCGATACAGGGCTTCTAGGAAATTTGCTATCGACACAAGGTCTTAAGAAAGCCTTTTTTTACTATAGGAGACTTCTAAGAAAGTCTTCTGAAAAGAAATATTTTAATTTCACATTTTCGGATCTACACAGTAAGAATCGAAACTTACAATATTTCATATCCATTCTCCAATTGGGTTCTTTGGGTTTTTAAACCCTCAGCCATATTGCTAGAAAGAGTATACATCATTGGATACGGCCAAAACGTGTCTCATCGAAATAACGGTTTTAGACCTGGGGCGTTTTGAAACAAATCCGTTTCAAGACATTTATAGTATATTTAGCGATGTTCGTCCGTCTGTCTGGCTGGTGCACATGATGAGTATCCGATTTGGTCCAAACTTGGTAAATCGTAATATTATTATCAAACTTATATCTATTTCGGAGATGGTCAATATCGGTCCTCTCCTTCTGGAGTCGAAATTTACAAAAAAAGTATTCTACTGCACAGACAAAGGAAGAATAATACGATTTTGCTTCAACTTTGCAAGTCCTAATATTTACAGCAGTGTTAGATCAGGTGCAAAAAAATAGACAATATCTGTCCACTCCATCAAGTACCTCCCCCACAACGGGTTAAAATTTTGAATAATTGCAACTCTATTAAATTGTGATGTAAAAGTCCGACTGCCTTCAAATTACACACATTATAATATTTTTATAGGAATTTTTTTAGGAATAAGTTTTCAAGAATCTTTTTGCCAACAACAAATATTTTAAAGAATATGTTCTCAAGAGCCAATAAACCAGAATTTTTAAGAGAATATTTTCAAGGACAGCCGCGGCGGACGAATAAACGAGTTTCCTAGATTGTTTGCTGTTTAACTTTTTTTAAAGAATATTTTCTCAAGAACATTCAGCAAAAAAATTGATTTTTCTAAGAATCTTTTCCAAATAACATTTTTCATAAGGACCATCAAACCAATAAACGTGGATTTATAAAAATATTTTCTCAAGGGCCACCTGGCCAATAAGTCTGGATATTTTTAATAACATTTTCTTATGGACATTACATGTTTATATTTTTTTTGTCAAGGACATTCAGACTTAATACCTTAAAGCCATACAAAAACGGGAACCTCTATAGACAAATTTATGCCTCAAGGATTGTCATCTATCAAATTTTCCTAAATATCAAATTAAAAAAAATTGTGGGTAAATGTGGCTAGGATTATTAAAATACCGAATATCGGTATGTACCGTTGCATGTGCGCTATAAGAAAACATGGATTCAATTCATATGAACTAAAAATACCAATTTTTAGACAAATCCGTGAAAAAAGTGACAAAAATCATCGAAATATCCGGAGGTAAGGGGGCTAGAACCCTTTACGAACTACAACACCAATTTTTTGACAAATCAGTGGTTTTATGTGGCGAAAATTATCAAAATACCGAATATCGGGAGGCATTGTTATATGGCGGCTATACCATAACGTGGAACGATATATCTAATTTTCAACACCAACCATCCTACCAACACAATACAAATTGTTCTAACAAATGTTGAAGCTCTACGTCTAATAATGTGGACTGTATCGTGATTTCAACAGAGAGACGAACAGACAGACGAACATCGTTAAATCAACATAGAATTTTATGCTGATTATGAATATATAAATACTTTATGGGGTTACGACGAATATTTAATGATTTTACAAACGGAATGACAACGTTAATATACCCTTCTTTTTAAGGTAGAGGGTTTAAAAATTTAGCTTTGAGGAATATTTTTCATAGACATTCAGGCTAAGGATTTTCACCCCATTTTTTTTGTTAATTTAAAAATATTTAACAATATTTTCGTCGTACCTACAATCGTAGGTTTTTAAGAATTTATTCTCATAGACTATCAGACCAATAGATTTGGATTTTCAAAGAAATTTGCATTTATAAACGTAGATTTTGTAAATTTTCTTTAAGAGTATAAGACTAAATAATATTTTCTAAAGGACCTTCAAAAACACAAATGTCCATTTTTTAGAATATTTTACAAGGATCATCAGACAAATTCGTTTTGGATGTTTTTCTCAAGGACCATAATTTTTATTTTATTTTTTAAAGACCTTCAAACCAATAAACGTGGATTTATTAAGAATATTTTCTCAAGGATTCCCAGGTCAATAAACGTGCATTTTTTTAAGGATACTTCCTCCAGTGATTTTTTCATGGACTATCGAACGTGTAGAAAGTCTTCTATCTTTACAAAATTTTAGAAAGTTTTTTTGTTATAAAAGCTTTATTTAACAAGTAAAATAGTATCAGTCGGATTGTCCGACAGATGTATACCCCCAGCCTTGAGGTATGACTATTCAAACTTTATGTGGGGGAGGGGTGGTAGTTGGTTCCGATGCCGTTGACCAATATTGACCAATTCGTATGTGACCTAAGACTGATTATTTATTTAAAACAATGACCCTTTAGGGTAAAAATGTTAACATTTTGTGGGAAAGGTACCACAAGAAGTGGACCGATGTTGCCCATCTCCGAACTCGACCTAAGTTTTGTAATAACATTAGGATGTACCATGTTAGGATCAAATCGGATACTCCCTTTGAGAGTTATCGTGAGAACCAGCCGGCCAGACAGACAGACGGACGGACCTCGCTACATCGACCTGATCCTGAAACGGATTTGGTCCAAAGAGACCTAGGTTTTAAAAATGTTATTTCGATGAGGTACGGTTTGGCCATATCAAATGATATATTCCCCCTCTTGCCAAACTAAACTGACTGAATCCTGGTTTAGCAATAATTAGCCATTTTATCGTCTAATTATGTTAATAAATAAACATATTTTCTAAATAATTCCAAATAACATTTAGAAAAAATTCGTCTTCATTACAACTTCGAATCAACAACAACCATTAACAACAATTCTCATGGGTGTTCTTAATTCCAAGCTGTAACCAAAGTGGGTTTGTAGTTCAAAGCTGCTGCATGAAATCGCAGACGAACGAACAGCCAACAATTTTCACAAAAATATGCGTTTTTAATTCTTCTTGTCGGCTGGTGATTTCTTTTATTGGCCACCACCACAAACCAGTTAATTAATTTAATCAATAGCGGGGAGGTGGTGGCGGGCAAAGTGAGGGTATGAATGGCTGTTGGTGGCAGCGGTGGTGACGGTGCTGGGGGTTTGATGGCGGTGGCAATGTAACCATTCCTTTTTGGGGTTTCACAAAGTGTTATATTTAGAGATCGTTGATGGTTACAACAGCAACAACAACACCAAACCACCAAATTGTAATGTGCAACAGCAACAACAAGAACCTGAACATTAACGACGGCCAGTCACAGTCTGCTGCTGTGTCATTCTCAATTTTTGTTATTTGCCAAACGTCGTGGCTTAGGCCTGGTGAACTGAATCAGCGGTTGGCAGCCTGAATGACTGACTTGCTGACTTCTTGACTGAGGCCTCTACCCAACTGCCGAGTGACTGTGCAACACGTTGCACAGTTAATGAATGCCTCAACACAATTTTAACGTTAATTTTTTCGAATTTGTGGTGGTTGATTCGTTGGTTGGATGGTTGCTGCCGTTTCCATTTCAGTCACTGCTGCCAGTTCTACTGTTGTTGTTGTTGTCCGTCTGCCCCCCATTCAGACACACGAAAAATAAGCGTTCTTATTTACTTTATAAATTTCGTCCCTCTTCTCTTTGGCTTTTTGCGAATTTTGTATTTTTTGTGACGCATGACGACCTACTTTTGTCGTCTACATCAACAGCCGCAGCAGCAGCAACTACAACAAAACGAAACTATAATAATTATTATTATAATAGCAACAACAATGTTTGTGTGTTTTGAAAACATTGAAAGTTGAACAGATTCGTTGCACAGTGGTACAAAAATATAAAATAAAAAAATTAGAA